ACTTGTACGTTGTCCCCAAATAACTTGTACGTTGTTCCTCCTTCAAACTAACTTTAACCCCTGATTTTTTCTGTACGAACAAGAGGTTTTTCTTGGGATAAGCAATGACACAAAGTCCAAGATAAGAAAGAGGAACACAACAAAATACCTCAGCTCAGGTGCTGCTACTTTAATGTGGAATCTTTTCTTGTTGCTTTTCTGTAGCTGATGAACCATCTCTTTCTTAGCCTAGGAGTCGATCAAGGCATGAGCACCATCCTCCCAGTTCCATGCACAGAAATTCAGTGACCATCTGCAGGAGGAAGCTTTCTTCTCATTTCTCAAAGCAGAAAGCTTTGACCTAAAACGCACTATGGAACTGTGACCTCTTGGTTGTTTCAGAGCCCTCAGAAACTTGTGCGGTGGAGGAGCAGGAGAGAACATTCTCTACAGCAGTCCCATCATTGTTGAACTCCTTTTCCCACAGCTGTGTCTTGAGCCTTCACTGTACAGTTTCCACTGAAGGCTGAGGTTGCACCTCTTTATACTTTTGTACTTTTTATACTTTGTACCTTTGATACTTGACGTGTCTATTTTTTTTAGGACCCACCCAATTCTTGCAATTTGTTTTTAACTGTTTTCAAGGTTGTGTTTTAAACTGAGACCCTCTCTAGGACCTTAGCACGAGGGGCAAGGAATAAAGCAAAGTAATCAGAACAATATGAGAGGAAAGCAAAGCCTCACTTCATCGTGATTCTCCTACATCAAACATGGGCAAAAGCATACTAAAATATTGAATAGCTTGGCTGGCCTGCTGATTGACTACGGGGCCAGCTCAGCTCTAAGCTGTCCCTGTTTTAGGCAAGCCTGCCTTTTGCTCAAGGAAGCTGTGCCAGCCACACAGATGCCACCCAGCTGGCACTCCTTACTTGGTTCTGAGAGTCAAGCCAGATCATCTGGCTGCCCTAACACTCTTCCCCGGTGTCTCACAGCCCAGCTTCCAACACTTTCTGCCCAGTCAGAAGAGGATGGGTTTGTGCCGTTGATACACCCAGACCCAGTGTCTGCTCCTCCAGGCCCTGCAAATCGCCCTCACCTGGTGACATGGGCATATCCAGTATTTATTTGGGGGGGCAGGCAGAACCTCAGTTTGCTATGTATTTTTTTATTGATGGGGGGCAGCTGCCCCTCCCTGCCCCCTCCCCTTGGTGAGCTGCTGCTCAGGCAGAGGGACCTCCTGCAAATTTACAACAGAGTCTGTCACGACTGGACCAAATGGTATGGGGTCCCTTTACCTTTTACTATGTTCTTTTAAGATTTTATACAGTAGTACCTCGGTTTTCGAACATCTCTGTTGACAAACATTTCGGTTTTCGAACGCCGTAAACCTGGAAGTAAGTGCTTCAGTTGTCGAATGGGCCTCAGAAGTCGAACATGAAATGTGGCTTCCCTATTGAGTTTTCTGTTTTGGAGCACCACAACCCCAGAGTCGGCCACGACTGGACCTAATGGTCAGGGGTCCCTTTACTTTTACCTTATAGAAACATTGTCAATGCATTTTAGCATAACCAAGCCAGGAAGGCCGTTTGCTGCTGCATTAACAGTATTTATTTGCCCATTCTTCTTTGTCCAGACTAAATCCTTTATAGCCTATCAAAGCATCAACTGATTTGCAAAAGGTATTCTTCAATTTCAAGGTTGATCCTGGAGCTCTTTTGCCTTCTGGTGTTCCTTCCAAAAATGTGTTATGGGTTTCTTTAATAAATGTGTATGGATTTAAAACACACACACACACACACACTCCACCAAAAGTCCTCAGACAGCTTTCCTTTCTTCAGCTACTGGCCCAGAGATCTGTGGACTATCATCTATACAGAACAGGATCCATACCTGTATGCGTATGGGGCACCATGAAAAGAGATGTCTGGTCCTTGTTTGCTTCTGGGATGGTTGGGAGGAGGGTGGGAGAGACGTAAAGTTGTGAAAGAGGTGCAAATCAGTAAAACTTGGCATTTGCCCAGTGACTAAAGCCTTACTCATTAAAAAAAAATCTCTATGGAATGGTGTTTTTTGCAGTGAAAATGCATAAAAGGGAACTTGCCATGAGGTGTGTGGGAGGCTAAAATAAAGAAGTGCAATTCCTGCAATGTCATGCGGTATCAGTGGTTCAAAGCTATAGACGGGCAAGACCACTTTAGACTGGGGAAATCTTCTCGCTGAAGGAGCTTGAACTTTGCAGCTCACATCAGCCAGAAACATCTAGACATTTGTTGACAGTGGCAAGAGTTATCATAGCTAGGAAGTGGAAGGGGCAAGCTGAATATGAAATGGAGGAATGGTGCAGGCAAGTGTGGCAATTAATGATAAAGTGATGTGTGCTATTAAAGTAAGAAGGGGAATGTGGAAGAGAAATGATGTTGAGGAAATATGGAAAATATTTGTGGAATTCGTATTGTATTGTTAAAACAGAAAGGGGTCAAACCATCTTAAGAAGTGTTGAATTTTTGGAAAGTTGGATAATTATGATAAATAATGGTCTTGGAGTGGGGAGCACATTTTTATTTGTATTATTAATACTTTAAGAAATAATAATAATAATTTGGGGGGAAAACACATTTAGACATTCAGACACAACAGAACCAATACATATGAAAAGCTGAAGATTGCTTAAAAATTTTTCTAGCTATGTGTGCTAAGCCAAGAGTAGCCAACCTAGTTACCTCCAGAAGTTGTTGGACTCCAACTCCCATCAGCACCAGCCAGCATGGCCACTGGTCAGGGATGATGGGAGTTGTAGTCCATCAACATCTGGAGGCCTACTTTAAGATCTTCCCGTAGCACATGAAAGGACAGGTGATCTCAGAGACATTTCTGAAAGAGAAGATTCTTATAGCCACAAAGGTTGAAAAATCCAGATTTCCCTCTCTTGTTCAGCAGAAATCACACTCTCGGCACTAAACTGGTGTGGTTAGAAGCGTACAGAGCCGTCTAGTGGTGGTATAATAGATTTGCAATCAAAGTTAACATGGACTGAAGGGTGAATTCTAGACACTGAAAAGTGTGGGATGAACAAATGATTAAAGGGAAGGGTGTGTGTAAACTCAGGATGAACACTCATTGTTGTGTAATAACCACCCTGTAAATCAACCAGAAAGAATAGTCAGTTAAGACTGAACATCATCTAACTGCAGTGATACCTCGGGTTAAGAACTTAATTCGTTCCGGAGGTCCGTTCTTAACCTGAAACTGTTCTTAACCTGAAGCTCCACTTTAGCTAATGGGGCCTGCCGCTGCACGATTTCTGTTCTCATCCTGAAGCAAAGTTCTTAACCCGAGGTACTATTTCTGGGTTAGAAGAGTCTGTAACCTGAAGCGCCTGTAACCTGAGGTACCACTGTACCAGATAAGCTTTGTGCATGCACATCTGGATGACTGATGGATGAACAGCATGTCTGTAGATGCCCTGCAAAGAATAGAAGAGAGATAGGAAGTTTGGTAAGAAAGTTAGTACAGATACAAAGGGGGAAAGGAGAGAAAGAATAACAAAGAGTCTTGTGGCACCTTAAAAACTAACAGTGAATTGTGTGATTATCATATATGTACTTTCTGTACCTTATTTACTTCTGACCTCACTGTTTACAGTTCCCATATGCATATATACTTGCAGCTGAGTCTATGTTCTTGCAGCTTCATGCATCTGGTGAGCTGAACTGCAGGCCACGGAAGCTTGCACTGTGGTAAATTGGTTAGGGTCATATTAAGCTAAATCGTTGCACTAGCAGAAACCAGTGCAATGATTCCTCTTAGCAGTGGCGTAGCATGGGAGGGCCAAAGGGGCGGCTGCCCCAGGTGCAAAATTGTATGGGGTGCAAACTTTCAACGCCTGGTGCTGCCTCAATACAGCTGTGCGCTTCCATTGCTGGGCTCCGTTGAAAACTACTTCTCTATGTGAACTATGTAACTCTTCTTTTCTTATCTCTGGGTGACGTGGATGCCTTTAGGCCGTCGAATGCACATGCGTACTCCGTTTCCCTCCTTCCCACCCCACCACGAGAACCCGGGCGCTGGTATAGCATGCTATGCCAGCGCCCTTTAGTGCAACAGGGCTCCCCCCCCCACTCTCCTCCCTCACAGCCCCCCCCCAAACTGCTCCAGAGGGTCAGGAGAACCCCCCCCAGAACAGCATAAAGTGGGAGGAGAGGGGAGGTGGTTTCATCAGGCAAGCAGAAACAACTGCACTAAATTGAATGGTCTCCCTAGCACCACTTTGAATACAACCCTTAGTCTTTTGAAGTTGTCACAAGACAACTTCATTGGTTTTGCTGCAAAATAACTAAAATGGCTACCCCACTGGGGAAAGACAGAAGAGGATGTCGAGTTTGTTTGTTGTTCTTGTTGTTTGCATTTTATTTATTTATTAACATTCTTATATTACATCGGTAAACATTGTCATATTACATTACAGGACTTACTATAATATAATTTCCAACATGTATACAAAAATTATATACAAATTTTATATACCTAAAAAGAGAATGAAACAAGAAAGAAAGAAAGAAACAACAAAGAAGAGAATGTTAAGTTCTAAATGTTAGCAATGATGCTTCCAAGTCAGAGCTTAAAACAAAAAGAAAATTCTCAGATTTCCCCCAGAATGCAAAAAGCCAGGGAATTAATATGGTTGACATTTATATACCAACAATGTTGTGTGAATGTTTTATGCCTGCATGAGGAGCACAGATCCCACATTGAACAGATACCTGGAAGCACCCAGAAAGGTATTTATACTGACAGCAGAAGAGAAATAAATATAAATGCAGATGATGCAAGAGCGTTGTCATAATTCTTAAAACGGCACTTTTTCTTAAAACGGCACTTAAAAAAGACAGAAAGAAAATGTGCATGTCAAAGAGAGAAAGATGACAAAGAACAATATTGTGCTGAAGTGGAGCATATTCAAAGAATACAGTAAAGGGTTTAGTTATATTGGGGGCTGTTTCTAGAAAAAAGGCTAAGGAAATTGCTGAGTCTAGCCCTAGAAAAGGCAATTGCAGTTAGGCAGAGGCAATGCTTTTTTTCTTCCCCCTCACTCTCATTGCTAGGATGTTCTATCGTAAATTGTTTTGAGGCACAGAACTATCTCTGCCCGGCTGGTTGTCATTACAATAGGCTGGTTGTACAAAACAACAATGTGGGAAAAGACATGGGAGGAAGCCAAAGGAAGTGATGAAGCAATGTGAAGAAAGAAGAAGCAAGAATTGTTTGCCTCCGTGACAGGCAATATTTGCAGATAATTGTTTTTAAGTGTCCCAAGGAGAAGTGAGATGTGGGAAGGGAGCAGCTGTCTAGTAGACCAGACGATGCAGCCGCTGTCCTTGCTGGGGCTGGTATTCCTCCTGCCAGGTAAGATGGTTGTTTTTATTTTACCGCTTCCAAATTGAATCAAAGGTTAGCTTGCCTGTGAATGAGAGTTGCTAGCCACAACTAATTACAGTGGTACCTCGGGTGACAAACGCTTCAGGTTACAGACTCTGCTAACCCAAAAATAGTACCTCGGGTTAAGAACTTTGCTTCAGGATGAGAACAGAAATCGTGCGGTGGCAGCGGGAGGCCCCATTAGCTAAAGTGGTGCTTCAGGTTAAGAACAGTTTCAGGTTAAGAACGAACCTCCAGAACGAATTAAGTTCTTAACCCGAGGTACCACTGGACAGCTTTCATAATGAACGCTGTCTGTTATTGCAGGACAACACTGTAGACCATGGGTCAGCAAACTAAGGCCCTGGGCCGGATCCGGCCCAGTTGCTTTCTGGACACGGCCCGCGGATGGTCTGGGAATTGCCGTGTGGTTCAGTGTGGATCTGATTGTTCGGGCTGCGCCATTTCCCTCTCCTTTCCCTCACACTGCGGCGGCGCTTCCTCCCTCCCTCCTCCTGGCTTCTCCCCGCCCTGCCTATTGCAGAGAGAAAGGGGGCGGGGCTTTGTTGGTGCCAGCAGCAGCAGCATGAGTGAGCGCTCGAGCAGCCACCATTGTAAGCAGGCTGAATTCGGGGTTTGTTGCTGTCAGTGGCGGAGCTTCATGCTCCGGCACTGGGGGGCGGAGAGCAGCCATGATAGCACCACACTGGGATCGCACTGCCGGGTGCGAAGTGCTCCCCCTGCACTACTCTTCCTCCGCCAGTGGTTGCTGCCAGCCCCTCTCCGGAGCCCTTTCGTGTGCCGCTCATCATTCCGCTTCCGCCAGCCCCTGCCGCTCGCAAGACACAGGTAAGCAGCCACCAGGGCTTGTCCATTCATTCATTTCCCCACAAAATTTTTTGTCCGGCCCCCCACAAGGTTTGAGGGACAGTGCCAACTGATAGGCTTTCATATTAGAAGTGGGAATGGGGTGGATGCAGAGAGGATGGGAGAAGCTTGAACAGTCACAATTAAGCCATACCTAATTAATCTTACTGGGACGCGGGTGGCGCTGTGAGTTAAACCACAGAGCCTAGGACTTGCTGATCAGAAGGTCGGTGGTTCGAATCCCCGCGACGGGGTGAGTTCCCGTTGCTCGGTCCCAACTCCTGCCAACCTAGCAGTTCGAAAGCACGTCAAAGTGCAAGTAGATAAATAGGTACCGCTCCGGCGGGAAGGTAAACGGCATTTCCGTGTGCTGCTCTGGTTCGCCGGAAGCGGCTTAGTCATGATGGCCACATAACCCAGAAGCTGTACACCGGCTCCCTCGGCCAATAAAGCGAGATGAGCACCGGAACCCCAGAGTCGGCCACGACTGGACCTAATGGTGAGGGGTCCCTTTACCTTTAACTAATCTTAATGAATAGAGACAGCTTTATGGTCTGTGGGGCCCTATGCACAGACCTTTGGCGGGAGGCTATTGTTCAGCCAAATAAATGTGACTATGTCAAAATTAGAGGTGTATGAGAAGATAACAATGGAATTTAGGAAAAAGGAGGGGGTGATGATAAAGCCTCTGCACCGGGCCTCCCCACCCTGACCAGCTTTGGAATTCAGACACACACACACACACACACACACACACACACACAGAGTTGCTGGGGAGAAGAAAGATTGTAACCTAGCCTGCTTCTTTTTGTTCTTCAGGATGTTTCTCTGACTTGACCGTCCTCAAGATGCACGCAATCCTGGGAGGATTGGCGTCTGTGGAATGCAGATACGATGAACGGTATAAGGGAAACCCAAAATACTGGTGCAAAGAAATGAGCAAAACATCATGTGACAAAATTGTCGAGACTTCAGGTTCAGAAGAGCCAGTGAGGAAAGGCAGAGTCTCCATCAGAGACAACCATTCATTAAACCAATTCACAGTGACGATTGATGAGCTGACCAACAGTGATACCGGCATGTACAAATGTGGCATGATTGTGCGGGGAGGTTCGGATCTGATGGTTCCAGTCAATGTGACAGGTAGGTTAATGAGTCCCCCTGCTCTGATTTTAGCCCAGGAAGCTGAATCACAGCTGAAGTGGTGGTGAGAATAGAGAGAAGGAGAGGACTGCTTTTCCCCATTGAACTGAAGGAGCGTCTCCACCCCCATCATTCTGCCCAGACACTGAGGTCTTGTGCCGAGGGCCTTCTGGCAGTTCCCTCGCTGCAAGAAGCCAAGTTACAGGGAAACCAGGCAGAGGGCCTTCTCGGTAGTGGCACCTGCCTTGTGGAACACCCTCCCACTAGATGTCAAAGAGATAAACAACTACCAGACTTTTAGAAGACATCTGAAGGCAGTCCAGTTTAGGGAAGCTTTTAATGTTTGACGGACTATTGTATTTTAATATTTTGTTGGAAGCCGCCCAGAGTGGCTGGGGAAACGCAGCCAGATGGGTTGGGTATAAATAAATTATTGTTGTTGTTGTTGTTGTTGTTAATCAATAATTGCTGTAGGACAGCCTTCTCCAACATTCAGTTGGTTTCATTCAATTGGTTTGATTGTTCTCCAGCAGCCTTCCTTGGTTCTCAGTCCCCAGAGATGGATGGACTACAGTGCTCCAATCCTTGACCTGGCTGGAGATGATGAGGGTCATTGTCCAACAACATCAGGGGACCCATGCATGATGGGAGCATTAGGGCTGTCCAAGGGACCCAACCGTTTAATGCAACTTCAGAACATATGGAAATATTAGGCTTCGCCTAAAGTTGTATTAAGCCAAATGTCACCATCAAAACAGGTCACAAGATTCTGTGTTTTTCCTTTCCTCATTCTTTTTTAAAAACTGAAAGTCTAAAGGATTGTTTCTAAGTTGGAAATGAAAGTGTTACTAAGAGTCTCTTCCCATACCTCCATCCAATTTCCTTTGTAGCTTCTGCTTTTTTATGTTTGCCTTCATGCTCAAAATTTCTGGAAAATATGAGCATAGCTGTCAACCGTCCCTTATTTGGCAGGAAAGTCCCTTATCTCAGCGCTGTGTCCCGCTGCTGTCCCTTAAATTTCCCGGGTTTCAAAGGAAGCAGCTCCTCTCCCTCCCTCCCTGCCGGCCAGGGAGGCTCCAACTGTGTTGCTTGGCTGCGTTGCTCACCCAATAAGGAGTCTAAGAACAACTGGGGGGTGGAGCTTGCATGCCTTGTGCCGATAAAATCGGCCGCATTGCCTGGGAACTTGCCTTTGCTCAGCGCTTCCCAGTGGAGAGGTGCCGGTGGTTTTCCTTGCTGCATCCCCTTTGCCGGGTTGCTGTGCTGTGGGAACCACCACTTGATGCTTCGTTTGGCTGCTGGCTGGGCTTTCTGCCTTTGGCTTGGAGGGGCTCAGAAGCTGAACATACCTGTGCTTGGAAAATCCCTTATTTTGGCTGCTTATTTTCGAGGCTGCTGGTCCCTTATTTTCAAATCTGTAAGTTGACAACTATGAATATGAGTGACCCAGGCAGTATCGTATCTTCATCCCATTAAAGCTCTCTTTTTTCCAGTTAATACCTTCCTTATATTGTTTTTCACCTGATCGAACACATGTTCATTGTCTACAGCTTCCTTAAGTAGGAGTCATGTTGGCTTCAGTCAAATCCTATATGCGTTGGCCACTCCTGTATAAACTATAGCCCAGGGGTCAGCAACCTAAGATCCATGGGTCACAAGCAGCCCATGGGGTCGTTTAACCAGCCCACGAGCTGCCCCCAAACCGAGCCGCCCCCTCAGCAAGTCCCTGTGCGCTGCGCTAAACCGTCACAGTGCGGCTCGGGGACTCGCTTCCACGGCATCGGAAATTGCGTCTGCGCAGACGCAGATGCCAGAAATCACAGGCCCATGCACGATCCAGCCCACAGAGGGATCTCCACTGGAGTGAACTGGCTCAGGTGAGGTAAACCTTGCCGACCCCTGCTGTAGGCCATGCAAGATAGAGATTGGAGAATGGATTGTTCTGGAAAGACTGAATGTAGAGGGAAACTTAATCCATTGATTTGAGTGACAGCAAGATTCATCTATTCAGGCTGAGATCAGGTTTATATCACTCACAGACTCATTGTGGAACAGCCCAATTTCACACCTTTGTCTTCCATTCTTCTTCTTTCTATATTAGAAACTACCAGAGGACCAGAAGACGCCTTTCACAAGGATATCAGTTCTATCAGGTGCGTGAACTTCCTTCACAGCATGTCCTGGTTTGAGCCACTCTCTCCCTTCTGACTTGTCTATGTGTTCTGCTTCCCAGAGGAACAGAATCATTTATTTATTCGTGAATGAGATTCCATTTATGAACCTCTTCTCCAAAAATATCTGAACGCAATTTCACAGTAAAAACATCAGCAATAAAAACAATAAAGAACAATTCTATATGTAAAAAGCAAACCCAATACAGATGTGGACAGGAATAAAGATCTCCAGTTTAAAGACTGCAATTGAATGTCTGCAATCTCCTGCTACTATACATACACACACACACACACACACACACACACACACACACACCTTTGTGCTTACACATGCAGGTTGTGGAGCCCCTGCTAACAAATTGGTACAAGGTGGTAAATCTTAAAATAGTTAATTTAGTGTAACACACACACAATAAGCTGACATATCCAAAGAAAAACAAAACATTTTCCTATCTGAAATCTTTCCCACCTTCATGCAGTTTTTACTGAGTCTCTTCAGGTAAATGGGAGACACCTAAGAGAAACCTAAGATTAGGGCGAACTGTTCTTGTGCACTGAACAACTTAAAGATAAAGGGACCCCTGACCATTATAAAGGTAAAGGTACCCCTGCCCATACGGGCCAGTCTTGACAGACTCTAGGGTTGTGCGCCCATCTCACTCTATAGGCCGGGGGCCAGCGCTGTCCGCAGACACTTCCGGGTCATGTGGCCAGCGTGACAAGCTGCATCTGGCGAGCCAGCACAGCACACGGAACGCCGTTTACCTTCCCGCTAGTAAGCGGTCCCTATTTATCTACTTGCACCCGGGGGTGCTTTCGAACTGCTAGGTTGGCAGGCCCTGGGACCGAGCGACAGGAGCGCACCCCGCCGCGGGGATTCGAACCGCCGACCTTTTGATCGGCAAGTCCTAGGCGCTGAGGCTTTAACTCACAGCGCCACCCGCGTCCCTGACCATTAGGTCCAGTCATAACCGACTTTGGGGTTGTGGCGCTCATCTCGCTTTATTCGCCGAGGAAGCCGGCGTACAGCTTCCGGGTCATGTGGCCAGCATGACTAAGCCGCTTCTGGCGAACCAGAGCAGTGCATGGAAACGCCGTTTACCCTCCTGCCGGAGCGGTACTTATTTATTTGCTTGCACTTTGACGTGCTTTCAAACTGCTAGGTTGGCAGGAGCGGGGACCGAGCAACGGGAGCTCACCCTGTTGTGGGGATTCAAACCGCCAACCTTTTGATCGGCAAGTCCTAGGCTCTGTGGTTTAACCCACAGCGCCACCCGCATCCCGCTTCAGGTAAATGGGAGACACCTAAGAGAAACCTAAGATTAGGGCGAATTGTTCTTGTGCAGTGAACAACTTATAATTAACTAAATGGACTTCTTTATTCAACCTACTCATTTAAATCAGGTATACCTCACATGTTGCTAATAGACCAGGTTAATTAGGTCAAGTTATTCCTTCCTGCATTTCCTGAGAAATTCAGAGTTCAGTCCTTTTCAGCAAAATAGCACCTAGCTGAAAAATAAATCTGTGTGGCTGGAAATGCTCCACTGCCTGGGACTCCATATTATGACATGATAATTAATTCATGCAGCTTAAGATACCCCAGGAACTTAGAGCACATGTTTTGAATATTTTGGATAATTGTTATATATATAACAGGCAGACAGAAAATCAGAAGACCCTCTTTTTCTTTTCTGTTATTTCTCTTTATCTTGCTTTTCTAATGACCTTTAATCCTTGTTTTCTCTCTGTTAATTCAATCTATATTTATGCTTTGCTTTTTTGAAGTCTCCTATCTTGGATTAATGAAGTTACACACAGGAAGGTGGTGGATGGGAGATGAAGGGCAAAGCAGAGAAGATCTCCCAGGGTGAGAGGCTGGGGGAAGAGGGGGAGGCTCCCAGGTGAGAGATGGGAGGGTTCTCTCTTCCTTGTCTCTTCCTCTTTTTTTCTTCCTTTGCTTTTTTTTAAAAAAAATATTTTTCATTTTCACAATTTACCAACATTTTAGGATGCTAAACAAAATTCTTACAAATTCAATTTACATTTCCTTTGCCTTGCCCCCCCTCCTTTCTGCGGTTACTTAATTTGTATCTTTTTGTTACTGCATATCCAATTTGAATCTGTTTACTAATTTTCTCTTATCTTCCTATTTGATTATTTCTTACTGCACAGGTTTATATCATCCGGCTAATGTTTTAATTCCTTTGGCATATTCTTGCTTCTTTCCTATTTATCTTCTTTAGATTAGTTTGTTTTTTGTTGTATTTTATGTTGAAAACCCTCAATAAAAACAAAAACTTCCATAGCACTCTACTTCATGATGCTCTACCCACAGTGATGCTCTACTTAGGCTTTATTTATTATTCCTTCCTTTCTTCCCCTTCTCCTCATTTCCTTCCCTACAAGCCATGCTCTTTTTTGTTTTCCAGAGTAGTCAGGACCCTGAAATAACTCCAGAGCATCTTCTCCAGGAGAAGGGTCACTCTATTTTGGACTAGCTAAAATGGGTTTCTCAGGAAACCATGATAAAAATTGTAAAATGAGATGAGGGACAGGAAGGAGGAATTTCTTAGCCTCCAGGAGGCTTCTTTAGATTATTTGGGTTCTGTTGGTCAAGGGAGACTAGCGGTGGCCAGTCATCAGTCAGTCCCCCGATTGTCATTCTGCACAAATACCTTTTTATTGCTAATGATCATCAATCATTACTCTGTGTGGATCTTGAAGGCATAAAGCAGAGGTCAGCAACCTTTTTCAGCTGTGGGCTGGTCCACCGTCCCTCAGACCATGTGGTGGGCCGGACTATATTTTGGAAAATAAATGAATGAATTCCTATGCCCCACAAATAACCCCAAGATGCATTTTAAATAAAAGGACACATTCTACTCATGTAAAAACACCAGGCAGGCCCCACAAACAACCCAGAGAAGCATTTTAAATAAAAGGACACATTCTACTCATGTAAAAACACACTGATTCCCGGACTGTCCGCAGGCTGGATTGAGAAGGCGATTGAGCTGCATCCGGCCCCCGGGCCTTAGGTTGCCTACCCCGGCATAAAGTAAGGGACAGAGTTCGTACAATAAGCCCCCAACTCTGTAAGCCATGCTTTGTAGCTTCTGGGATCTTGGTGTATGCTATTCAGAGCCACAAAGCTTCTTGTTAGAGAATGCTGGGGGTATTGCATTGCGATCTACTCCAGTGAGGATAATATTCTGTTTCTCCAATGCAGATACCTGGTCTACATGTCCTTCCTGGTTTCAGTTGCCTTGAAAGCCCCCATCTTCCTGGGTATGATCCTTGCAATTATCTGGATGCGCAGTAAGAAGACATAGCCTTCTGAGGAGGTGACGTCAGAAGGACCACTGTGAGAACTATCACTACTTCCTATCTGGACAATGACTCAACCCAACAAGAAAAGAGGAAACGAACTATGCAAGAAGGCATTTTTCTCAGCTTGTTCCGTTGTCGTTCTGCTGTGTCCTCAACTTCTGCATCTGCAAGTACCAGGATCCAAAGAAGCCAATCAGCCTCAAAGTCGCTGTGCATTTGTCTACTCTGAAACAGAGATCAGTCACAGTCTGGATTCCCCTGGCCCGCTTTTGCATTTTATCAGTTCAACTTGGAAATTTTATTACATATGTTTGTTTGTTTGTTTGGGTGTGCGTGCTGGTGGCATTTATATTATAGTAGTCTCTCTATATAATAAAAATGTAAGAATGCTATCATGCAGCCCCTATTGGAGGATTTGTAATACTATATCACAATCCTGGATTTTCACGAAATCAGGGTGGAGGAAGAGAGCAAAATGAAGGCAGGTTACACAACAACAGTGGCCGTGGAATGGGAATGAGAAGGGAGAGACACAGGGAGGAAAAATTATGCTTTAAATCAATGGCAGAAGTTTGAGCAAAGCAGGGATGGAGGCATACTGAGAGGGAGAGAGTGGCAATTATAAGCAATGGCAGAGGTTTGGGTAGGGTGAACAGAGGAAGACACTGAGGGGAAGTGGCAGTTTAAAACAAGGTTTGAGTACAGTGGTACCTCTGGTTACGTACTTAATTCGTTCTGGAGGTCCGTTCTTAACCTAAAACTGTTCTTAACCTGAAGCACCACTTTAGCTAATGGGGTCTCCCACTGCTGCTGCGCCGCCGGAGCACGATTTCTGTTCTCATCCTGAAGCAAAGTTTTTAACCCGAGGTATTATTTCTGGGTTAGCGGAGCCTGTAACCTGAAGCGTCTGTAACCCGAGGTACCACTGTACAGAGAGAAGGGAGTTTAGAAAGGCTGTTTTTAACTGGGTTTTCTTGATAACTTTAATGTTTTATTTTATATTTTCAAAAACCACTTAGGTTTTCTCACAATAAAACGTGTGTGTGTGTGTGTGTGTAAAATAAATAAATAAACATTCAGCCTGCAGGTTCTTATGATTTGCTTATGTGGTGTTTATAATCATCCAGTTCAAGGCCAGAGTGTGATGTTCTGCTGCTAGAGGCAAAAAACCCAGTGCCATCCCCTGCGACCCCCAACTTCTCACTGCCACTGGGCACCCCCAGCACTCGCCACTGTTAGATGCATGCCTCCTCCTCCTAGTATTCCACTGCTGTGGCCACATCTCCCTAATGCATATATCAAAAACTGCTATTACATATAAAATGTTGTGATGATTACAGTCCTTCTATGCACATTTGCACTTATTCCCAGTGGGGCGGTGTGCCTTGATCAGATTGGGCAGTGAGCCCACTGCAGGGATTGTCTTCAGCTGTGCTGGCAAAAAGGAGGAGGTACATTTCCTCAGCTGTCATCACAACCCTGGAGGAGATAAACAAGAGGGGAGTTCAGAGAACCCCCTCATAGTTGGAAAGAATATGTGAGGGTGTCATGAGGACACATGAACAAAAGTAAAGCCCTACTGGGATCAGACCAATGGCACACGCAATCCACCCCTGGAGTACTGTGTCCAGTTCTGGATGCCACAATTTAAGAAGGATATTGATAAGCTGGAATGGGTGCAGAGGAGGGCTTGGTCTGGAAACCAAGCCTTCCAATGAGCATTTAAAGGAGCTGGTTATGTTTAGCCTAGAAAAGAGGAGACTGAGAGGAGATATGACAGCCATCTTCAAATATCTAAAGGGCTGTCACATGGAAGATGGAGCAAGCTTGTTTTCTCCTTCTCTGTAGGATAGGACACGAACCAATGGCTTCATCCTACAGAAAAGGAGATTCTAACTAAACACCAGGAAGAACTTTCAGACTGTAAGAGCTGTATAACAGTGGAAAGAGCTAACAGAGCTTTCCTTTACAGTGGTACCTCGGGTTAAGAACTTAATTCGTTCCGGAGGTCTGTTCTTAACCTGAAACTGTTCTTAACCTGAGGTACCACTTTAGCTAATGGGCCTCCCACTGCCACCACACCGCCACCACACGATTTCTGTTCTCATTCTGAAGCAAAGTTCTTAACCCGAGGTACTATTTCTGGGTTAGCGGAGTCTGTAACCTGAAGCGTCTGTAACCCGAGGTACCACTGTAGTTGGAAACAAGGACTTTTCAGTCCTCCACTGGGACTTATGACATGTTGTAATATTCTGTAGAAACTGTCATGATCCTACTTCCCCCTATGATTCAACGGGCAACTCAAGGTGATCAGGCTAGAACGTGTGTGGTTTTTTTAAAGGATAAGATATGTTAATGTAGAATAAGCCTCCTCAATACCTATTAACTATTGTAGTAAAAATGGAACCTCCCTATACAGGGGCAGTATATCCCTGAGTACCTGATGCTGAACAATGAATATTACTTCCATTCCTCCTTGTGAAGAGGCATCTGGCTGCCTGCTCCTGAACCAGTACCATCTAACCAGGCGGAGCATCTGGTATTATTAGAAACATGCTAACTTTTGAACTTTCCAGAGGCACCTGATTGGCCACTCTTGGAAAGAGAGCTTGACGGACACTTGGCCCAATCCATCGAAGCTGCTCTTCCTTTTCCCATTCCGCCTGCGCATGCCATAAAAGCAGAACTACACTAACCACAGTCTTGCGCATCAAACATACAACATAGAAGCCTTCCTATTTCCACTTTTCGAAGCTCTGCCTCATGATCCGCTTCATTTAACCAGAGATTATTCCAGCAGTTGGATTCCAACACATTGTGGTGCCCCTCTTCCTCCACCGCGAGCTTCCTGGGAGACTTTGGCTACTCTCCAGCTCCCTCTGGCTTGAACAGAGAAAACAGCAGGACCATGAGGGTCTGGAGGACTATGACACTCCTGATCTGGGGGCTGCTTCCAGGTAAGGAACAGAGAAAGGTGGTCGTTGTGAAGCAAGACTCCATAAAGGGACATGAGCTGTGTATGGCAATAAAAGGTGGGATCAGAGGCAGGGGAAGGCATGGCTTCTCTGCAGCTCCAGTCTATGCACGCTGCCATAGTTGAAGGATGCTATTGCCAGATTCCTTAACCTGAAACTGTTCTTAACCTGAGGTACCACTTTAGCTAATGGGGCCTCCCGCTGCCACTGCACGATTTCTGTTCTCATCGTGAAGCAAAGTTCTTAACTCGAGGTACTATTTCTGGGTTAGCGGAGTCTGTAACCTGAAGCATCTGTAACCTGAAGCGTCAATAACCCAAGGTACCACTGTATCTGCCTACTCTGCCTTAGCTGTTGCCTCCACATTATGCTTTCTAATTTTCTTTATGGCTGTCTGGTATACAGGCAACAACCAATTTACGCGCAACAATTGGACCCAAATCGCAGCTACACAGAAGTGGCTGGAAATGGGAAAGTATGGCTGGTGGAACAGGGTATAATGGGAAGGAACAAGCTGATGAATGCCCTACCATCGTGCATGATGACCCAGAACGCAAAAATCGGTGGTTGCCTGTACTTTAATAAAAATTAAAAAGCTTTTTCAATGAAAGTCCTGGGTGCCTGCTGATGGCAGTCCTGGCTTCCAGTGACAGGAATGGATTCAAGGGAGTACTCCCAAAATTATCCTTCAGAGGGTGTGCAACCCCATGCGGAACTGATTGAACACTACCTGTCCCATCTGAGCAACATCATTATTAACATTATCTCTTTTCTTCTCTGGGTACTGGTCACACAAACAGCCATTAAGAAATCTCTACCTATGCATCCTTAGTGCCAAGGCCACAGTTCTCATCCGGATACAGGGATGTGTAATTTTATATTTTTCTGCTATACGAGAGGGATATTAGTTGGAGAGGTGGTGCCTCATTCCAGGTTCATTCTGTTTTCCAGGTTGCATGTCTGTTCTGATTGGTCCTGAAGCACTGGGTGGATTTCTAGGCAAGTCTCTTTCTGTGATGTGCAAATATGAATATTGGTATCAGACATATAAAAAATATTGGTGCAAAGGAAGCTCATGGAACAAATGTAGTGTAGTTGTTCAGACTACAGGATCTGAGGAAGAAGTGAAAGCTGGCAGAATGTCTATCAAGGACAATCATACTAATTTGGAATTCACAGTCAGAATGGAGAGCCTCACACAGCAAGATGCTGGGATTTACTGGTGTGGCATAAAGAAAAGAGGCTATGATCCTGGATTCCGTATACATATTACTGTTCTCCCAGGTGAGTCCTGTTTCCAAGCTCTACAGGCAAATCGAAAGCCAAATACAGCTAAAAGGGGAAGAAAACATCACAGAGGGAATAAGCATGACCGGGTGGCACTGTGGGTTAAACAACAGAGCCTAGGACTTGCCGATCAGAAGGTCGGCGGTTCGAATCCCCGTGACGGGGTTAGCTCCTGTTGCTCAGTCCCTGCTCCTGCCAACCTAGCAGTTCAAAAGCACGTCAAAGTGCAAGTAGATCAATAGGTACCACTCTGGTGGGAAGGTAAACGGTGTTTCTGTGTGCTAATCTGGTTCGCCAGAAGCAGCTTAGTCATGCTGGCCACGACCCGGAAGCTGTACGCTGGCTCCCTTGGCCAATAAAGCGAGATGAGCGCCGCAACCAGAGTCGGCCACGACTGGACCTAATGGTCAGGAGTCCCTTTACCTTTTCCTTATGCACATTAACCCAAAAGGGGCTTACTCCCAGGTAAGTGTGCAAAGACTTGCAAAGATAAGGAGAGGTGCTACTTCTATACTTTAAAAAACAGATAGGAAGTGAATAATTTGATAATTTTTCTCATTCCAAAAGGATATTATATTGCCTGTTAAGCAGGTAAATAATAGTCAATGAAACAAGGCTTGCTTTTGTTGCTTCATGATGCAGATGTAAAATTGACATTAGGGAAACCTATGTTTGCAGAATTGTCTCCTGCCACAGATTCCCCTGCCAGCATGGTTGCCTGAATGGACTGGGACAGAGTTCAAAATCCCAAAGGACATACCTGCAATGCAGCAGATCCTCAGGTTGACTTTGCAGTAGCCCCATATTAGCACATGAGGAAACCCATGACAGGCTTTGGATTTCTCCCATCCCAAGTAAAAGTGTCGACTTGGGAGGAATGTGTGCTTGGAGGTAGGGAAACAGATCTCCCACTTGAATTACCTGCCCAAGAAGTTGTTTCATGTCACCAGGTTTGTTCTAAGGGTGCCTCTGAACCCAACTATGGGTTTGTACAGGGCCAGCCTGAGGTGAGGCCATCACCTCAGGCGCCAGATCCAGGCCTGAGGAACTCACTGCCTCCACTACTATTGCACCCTCCCTGCCCATGCTATGCTCGCATTGCTGCCACAGCATCCTCACCACACCCGGGATAGGGATGCAGCTGAGGCATCACGGCAGGGGCCTGGATCTGGAAAGAGTGGTGGTTGGAGGGGGGGAGGCAATGAGGCTTTTTGCCTCAAGTGGCAAGACACCCTGGACTGGCCCTGCTTGCCATGGATTGAGGCAACTGGAAAGTTCCAAACCAAATATATTTAAAAGACAAAAGCGAACTAAACTGTATGATCCCAACAAACCTCATAAAATCTCTGTCGCACTGCAGCAGACATTTTGTTTCTCCTGAGGTGTGCTTCATCACTAGCCTCTCACACATATGTTCTCACCTTCTTGTTTTTGTTCGACAACATCAGTTCAGCTGTGTACTTTCTTTACAACAAGTGTGGGTTGAACATACCCAGAACACCCCATGCCTCGCAGCACACCCGCATTGCACACCCCACAAGCACCCCAAATTCTTCTTCTTTGGTGATCACTTGTAGCTGAGTAAGATTGTCTTCCATAAACACAGTTTTAACAATGAGTCTGTAAGTGACTGTGGAGGCCAATTCTGTTTTTATATATATATATAATAATATCTATTGGCATTTTAACAAAATAGAAAAAACAGTATCGCACAAAAAGAAAAAAGAAAAACAAAAATACATACCAAAAAGACAAAAAAGACAAAAAAGAAAAAACACATGTATAATTTCAATCCCTTATGTTCATAAACCTTACTTTCCCGACCTCCTCATACCTCCCCTTACTGCATTCCAATCTCTAAGTAATTCTCTTCAACAAATCCTTCCCTTAATTTCTTATTAAGATTTTTAGCTTTCTTTTCATGTTTACATAATGGTTACAGCAAACAACCACTTAATCTCAAAATCAACATCGTCTCAACATTCCACAATTTTACAGTGTTTCTTGAGATAGTCTTTAAATTTCTTCCAATCTTCTTCCGTCGTCTCTTTTCTCTGGTCTCGGATTCTGCCTGTCATCTCTGCCAGTCCCATGTAGTCTATAACTTTCATCTGCCATTCTTCCACAGTGGGTAGTTCTTCTGTCTTCCAATACTTTGCAATAAGTATTCTTGCTGCTGTTGTAGCATACATGAAAAATGTTCTATCCTTCTTTGACACCACTTGGCCAACCATACCCAGGAGAAAGGCTTCTGGTTTGTTCAAGAAAGTATATTTAAATACCTTTTTCATTTCATTATATATCATCTCCCAGAAAGCCTTAATCCTTGGGCACGTCCACCAAAGGTGAAAGAATGTACCTTCAGTCTCCTTACATTTCCAACACTTATTATCAGGCAAGTGGTAAATTTTTGCAAGCTTGACTGGGGTCATGTACCACCTATAAATCATTTTCATAATATTTTTTTTTAAGGCACTACATGCCGTAAATTTTATACCGGTGGTCCATAACCGTTCCCAGTCTTCAAACAAAATATTATGACCAATGTCCTGTGCCCACTTAATCATAGCTGATTTAACTGTTTCATCCTGTGTATTCCATTCCAACAGCAAGTTATACATTTTTGACAAATTCTTAGTTTTAGGCTCTAACAGTTCTGTCTGTGGAGGCCAATTCTGGATCCACACGTCCTTCCACAGTGGGGACAAAGGTTTCTGGGCAGGAGTTGATCACGGTGAGGGTTTCCTCTTAGCACATTTCTCCCTTTTGTCCTGAGTTTGAGCATCTTCAAAGCCTATGACACCTTTGGTAAAGGCTGTTCTCCAACTGGAGCGCTCACAGGCCAGTGTTTCCCAGTTGTCGGTGTTTATACTACATTTTTTTAGATTTGCCATGAAAGAGTCTTTAAACCTCTTTTGTTAACCATCAGCATTAAGCTTTCCATTTTTAAGTTCGGAATAGAGAAGTTGCTTTGGAAGACGATCATCAGGCGTCCGCACAACATGACCAGTCCAACAAAGCTGATGTTGAAGAATCACTGCTTTGACACTGGTGATCTTTGCTTTTTCCAGTACAAGATACATATCACCAGAAGCAGAGCAGAGGCCAAAAAACACAAACATACTGTTCCAAACACCACAGAACAAGCCCACAGGGATGCTGGTCGCAGGAATGACTCCAGAGACAGACATCAGATACTGCTTCCACCACCTCTCCCATGTTCCTAGGTGTTGTAGGGCTGTTTGGAGGGCTGCAGGAGAGCTGAGTGTGCTCAGGACCAGCAGGTCTGGGTGGATCCAGATGGGCCTAGCCAATGCCCTGCCGTGGGCTGCATAAACTTCTGTGGCAAATTTCTTAAAAACAGATCACAGCTTGTTTACTGAAGCTGCCCTTGTGCATTTGGGAGCATGAACTTATTTGCCAGTTCTCTGTTCACATTTTCTGTAGTTCTCGGTCTCTTCAGTGTCTCTTCCACAACTGCTGCTGATACTGTCCATTTCTCACCCTCTCTACTCCCCTCCTCAGATCCAGAAGAAACAACAGCAATTAGCAGCCAGACAGACCTTGATCCCTCCCTAAACACTACTGACAACGTGTAAGTCTTGAGATTCCCTCTGTGTAAACACATGAGATCATTGATATGTGGGCTCAGCAACCTCTAAAAGCTTTTAAGGTCTCTCTTTCTCCCCTTCGCCCTGCAAGTACAACCCACCTTCGAGCGAGCGATATCTCGGAAACTAACCTCCCGTGGTTGAGATGTCAAATGCAATGGGAACAAGGGTTTAATCTACATACATATTAAAAAACGCTGTGAAAATGCTTTTTAAAAACAACAACAACATTTTGAAAAATAAATTGAATTTTGCATAGCTTACTCTCGCCATCTAGTGTCACATTTGTATATGGCAAATTACAACACATTAAAACGTTTTATTTGCAGCTGTATAGCTGAGTCCAGGATCTCTTTAAAAATTCATTGCCAAATGGAAAAATGAGCTGTGAGATGGAGTTCTAAGTGCATTGGCTGGCAGACTCTATATGGTGCCATTACCAAAGGTAACGCCAGCAAGGCCTTCTGTCTGCTATTGGCATGCTGTGTCTGCCAGCAGTAACACCTGGCAACCCATCTCATTGGCTGGCACAGGCATCATGGCTCGGACATTCAAGTGATGAGTACCAGAACTTTCCCCATCAGATGGACAGGGTATAATAATAATAATAATAATAATAATAATAATAATAATAATAGTTCTGTTTCTTTGATGCAGGCACCTGATTTATGTGCTTTTCACCTTGAAAACCCTTATCCTCCTGGGTCTGGGCATTGCAATGATCTGGATGCATAGAAGACAATCAGAAGAGATCTTCAGCTGCCATGTGGCAAGAAAATGCTGGACAGCAATCCCATAGCGACCAATGTAACCGTTGTTAAGTTTCTTTACATATTATATTGTGTTTTAGCTAACACTCTTTTGTAACTCTAGTTGACATTAAACTATTTGTGTACCAACCGGCTTCATCTTCCCCCAAAAAGTACAATAAAAGGTATGCCACAGATTGTTTAGATGCTTTCCCTTTAACAATGTTTTAAAAGATGTGGCCAATCTACTGGATTTGCAATCTCAGTACAGTCATACCTCGGGTTACAGATGCTTCAGGTTGTATTGTTTCAGGTTATGGACCGCTGAAACCCAGAAGTACCAGAATGGGTTACTTCCGGGTTTTGGTGGTCGCGCATGCGCAGAAGCGCTGAATCACAACCCGTGCGTGCACAGACGTGCAGCTCTGGGTTGCGGGTACGTGTATCCCGCACAGATCACGTTCGCAACCCGAGCATTCACTGTAATTTACCTGTAACTTGGATAGTCCATCTGCAGCAAGATTCAGAGAGCTACTTTTCATAGGCAAGTGTGACTTATTGCAATGTTTATTGGAAACTGTGGAGGGAAATGTTTTCTGGCAAATTACCTGTGACCAATGTAACAAGTGAGAATTCCTTGTGGGAAGTTGCAGTCTCCATGGGAATTTAACCTTGATATGTTTATTTTGAACCCAACATTTATCATCATTTGCAGGGATGGCAAATGTCAACAAAGTTCCTTAAAAAAGAAAGAGAGAGCTGGATTTCATATTCATGAACATCATATTGCCATCACTCAGGAAACCAATTTTCTTTTCAGTTTCTCTGTCCCTCAAACTTAAAATAATAAAGTTGGCAACTGACACCAACACTTCAGTATAGTACCTTTTTCTCCTTCTGCTCTTTCTCTCAAGATACTCAAAGTTCCCCTCAGGACATTATTCCCTGTGACTAGGGTGCTTATTTTTTTAAAAAAGTGGGAATTGCAAACCATGGCAGAAGTTTGGGCAGAGAACAGGGGTCGACACTGAGGCAAAGTGGCAGTTTAAAACAAGGTTTGGGTACAGTAAGAAGGGAGTTTGGAAAAGTTCTTTTTTACTAGGTTTTATTGATAACTTAAATGTTCTGTTTTATATTTTGGAAAACCACTTAGATTTTCTTACAATCAACAAGACATTATTTTTTTTGTAAAATAAAAAAGTAAACATTCAACCTGCAAGTTCTTGTGATTTGCTTATGGGGTGTACAGTTCATGTCCAGTGAGGGATGTTCTGCTGCTAGAGGCAAAAAACCCAGTGCTACCTCCTGTGACCCCTACCCTTCACTGCCACTGTTAGATGCTCACCTCCTCTTCCTAGTCTTCCATTGCTGTGGCCACCCCCACCCCCCAATGCATATATCAAATACTGTTATTGTCACATATAAACTGTTATATGTTATAACCCTTCAACGTGTGTTTGCGCTTGCTCCCAGTTAGCGGATGCGCCTTGATCAGACTGGTCATGGAGGCTAATTTCTCTGAATAAACACATTTTTATATGCAATTCAGACAATTTTTTGTGAGCAAATTCTCCTAGCATAATTCATTCTTCTACGTTATTTTCACTAACATATTCTTTTTCACATTTCCTTCTAATATGTACATTTTGTAAGCACTATATGATCAGAGGACTGCAGCACAGAATTCAGAGAAGTGTAACTGCTCATTTGTGGACTTTCCAGAGACATCTATCTGACTGGACACCCTCAGAATGCTGAACTTGCAGGTCCAAG